AAAGATAACATAGTGGCTACTAGCTAGTAGCTAGCAGCCGGTGAGGGTCGGCATGGGCCTAAGGGGTGTCCATGGGCCTAATTAGTCAGCTTCTAGCGGAGTTCTTGCCGTTTTTCACATTTTGAAAGTAGCGCAGCCTCAAAAATCGCCTTCCGGATCGTCCGACACATTTGAGAGGTCATAGCCTTATTTTATCGCGGAATGTGCCTTTAAGCTGAACTGGTAATCGTGAGTGAATGACGTGGATGGCCAGCTGCCTGTAAGTTGATCCAGCAATAATTTATCTCACGGAATGTACACATATTTTTCCTGACAGTGGCAGCTTTCGCATTTTGGAATATTTCGGAATCACTGTCACGGCACGTCGTGCACTGGGGATCCCTAGTGAGGGAGATCGTATAAGGTCGTTAGAGGGAATGGGTCGATTAGTTCCTGAGAGGAAGTTTCCGGCTGTTCACTTTCCCTCTTTTTTCCGATCCATGTCCGATCACCCGTGTTTTTTTTCCTTAGGATTTTAGGGGAGTAGGAAAGTTGGCAAGAATTTAGAGAATTCTCAAAGATCGTTGGTAATGAGGAACGAGGAGGGGGTGTCGCGCCAGAGTAGGAAATCATGAACTGTGGGAGGGGCGGAGGGGGGGGGTGTTTTTGCGAGGTTCATCTCGGGTGGCTGGATGTTCTGTGATCTCCATGCTGAGTCACTGCCGCAAGAGTGCTTGCTTTGATGACTAGATCTGAAGTGCTTCGCCATCTTTTTGATAGCTTCTCCTTAAGTTGCTTGAGAGGTGGTCCGCTGTGGCGTCAATATTTACTTCCTTATAAGGTTGGGGAAGGAAGAATGTTGTCGTTAAATGTTTTTGAGGATCAGATCGCTTCCTATGGACTTATGATTTCTCTTAATCATTGTTGTCTTCAATTTCAGTTCAATGCAGTTACACAACACTGATGCTGCTCTTGCTGCTGCGGATAATGAAGTCGCAAAACTCTGTGGTCGTCGCAGAAACATCATTGTGAAGTCATTCAGTTACTGGCGTGAACCGGAACGACGAGAACCTTCGCATGTATATGAATTGCGCAGTTATATACTTAAGGTCAGTTTTGGCTCCTTCACTTGCTTTTTTTATTCGGCTAATCTTCTGCTCGCAAACATATAATATAGTCAGGACTTGGGTCCTTTCTGTTGGGGGCGGGGAGGTGACCAGAATAGTTTGCGCCTTCTGCTGCGCTGCCTCTTCCAATTGCCTTATTGACAGTCCTTCACCATGTAAATGTCTAAATTTCTGATATCTGTGAAGTATATTGACTTTTTAATACTACCGCTTTAGCCTGGCTCGATGATGGAGTGGGCTACGGCTTGGGCGAAGGGTATATCCTTCAGACGTGACGCTAATCAAGATGTTGGCGGTTTTTTCGCTCAGGTCTGTTCATCCTGTTTTTTTTTCAATGTTGACGTTGCTCTTCCTAGGAATTTTCTTGCTTTTCTGTGTAATGCGATAACGACGACATTTTCAGATTGGACAGTTGTACATAGTGTATCATATATGGGCATATCCTTCCTTGTGTGCACGTCACGAAACGCGTCATGCTACTTGGGCTAAACCCGGCTGGGATGCCACGGTGGCCTACACTGGTAATTCATTTTCACTTTTACAACGTATTCTGCTTGTCTATTTCTTCGAAATGACCCAAAATCTTTGGGATGAGCACCAAAGCACTAGGGAACTGCCACAAAGTCTGTTCGCCGCAAGTGCTGAAAAACGCTTTTTATAGCATCCCAAATTTTCCATGAATGACAAGAGTCTCATGAATATTTATATAATCCTAAGTCGAATAGAGCGATTTGGCATGAGCAAGGTGATTATCGGACTATAAAACTCGAATAATATTGATCGCTGCCATGTGAAGAACTAGTCCGACTTCACTCAACGCATGGATTGTAGCATTCTTGTATGAGAATGTACAGTTTTCAGATTGGATATTGTTTTTCCATTGTCCATCTCAGACGTTTCTCTCCTGAAAAATACTAATCGAGAGTTTTAACGTCCGAAGTGATCCTGGCAGATTTTCACCGAAGGAATATCCAATATATACCTTCAGATTACATTGTTACTCTCAAGTTAAAGCAATAATTTTGTAAGGTGTATTTTGTCGAATTTTCGCTCGTGATTCCCTTGCAAAAGGCGTGTGTGTTTCCGGATATGAGTATTGTTGACATAGCGTTTTTGCCTTCAGGCGTGGTCGGAGAGGTTTTCTCAGAAGTAGTAGTATTTTGTGCGTGGCTGTAGCAATGTATAATAATTTTGCTCATATGAATGATGGAATGTTGTTCCAAAAATGGGTAAGAGGCAATCGTAGAAGCAGAGCCAGCTCACGGTGATCTTAAGGTTCACCGTGAGCTGGCTTCCCGCTGCTAGAATTGTCTCTTGCAAATTTTTGAAAAACACATAATTTTCGACACAAACGTGTGTATGTGCCGAACATTCTACCAAAGCCCACATCCTGAATCAAAGACAAACCTCGAGATTGTGGTAAATAGTGGCGTTGAATTACAAGCCTGTAGTCGCGGAATAACTCCAGGGAAAAAAGCAAAAAAAAGTTATGAAAAACATTTTAAGTATACATGGCTACCTTCCTGGACAAGTTTTCCGGACCTGCTCGTTGCATGCCAGCAAAGCAATATCCTGCCACCTGTGGCACACTGATCGTTTGTTCGATTCATCCAATGCTCTACAGTGAAAAAAGCGAAAAATTCGGCATAAGAACTGAACGCGTGCATTCCCTTGAGTTTTGTTAGGCGAGACAACTAAGAAGGCGTCTGTCACTTATGAGGGTCCCAGCGCTTTTGTTAGCTAGACTGCTTGTACAAAGATGAACGCCTACGAGTTGCTTGAGCGCGGGGCTGTCTTTAGGAGTAGTGGCACTAATTTTTCTTTCGAGTAGAGCTGCAAACGTCAGGCGACATATTTATGATAAGTAAGTCGCCATTTTGGCTGAATAGGAGTAAAACAAAACAAGGAGGTAAATAATTCTTGAGTTTCGTTATGATTTATATGTCCGCTTGTTTCATGCGAACCGAACTCTTCTAATATTTTATGCTTATGGCCTGAAACATCGTCGCACGAAAGAGCAGTTTGCATAAAACAAGTAAACAAAAACAAGAAGGGCTTCAAAAACTATCCTCTGTGTAGCTCTCTGTCCTATCACTGCAAATATGGACTTTTTTCAGTTCCACTCATCAGGGTGATGCAGTCTAGGATCCTTACTCCCACAAAGTATTCGCAACTGCAGTGAGTGGTTTGTGCAAGGCGACAAATTGGAAGCTGCCTTAGCTACTCCTGCCCACGTACTTTACTGTGTTGAATTTGGTTCGTGTATTGTCAGGAACTTCCACAACCAAACTTCGCATTCAGTAAATATCTAATTGCTCATAGTATTAATTGACATGTGCAAATATACGTTGTAGCTTTAGACGTGTTCTTCTTAGATCTGGGGTGAATAAATGTACACATACTTGTTTGTATAGAAATGTTTTTATACTTGTTGAAATCAAGTATAGTTATCTTCTAACTTTGCTCTGTATTGTAGCCGTTGTGTGGGGAAAAAACGATCTTCGTAGTGGTAAGCTAAGCGCGATCCTTTTACCGAAGGGAATTCGAACGAGCCAGTGGGACTTGTGATTTCTTTTCTCGTAGGTGATAAATTCAGATCTGGGTGGGTCTGCGCTTAGTTTTTAGTTTTTTTTTGTTGATGTTTCTCGATTTTGTAAACATTGACCTAT